GTAAAGATAGATGAGGTTTATCCCCTTCCTTCCCACCCCCCCCCCCCGTCCTCCCCCCCCCCCCCCAAACCAAAAAAAAGACCCTCCATACTCTTAATTAGCATGATATGCACTTATGCAGTATATCGTTGCATTTTCATCTTGCACTTGTTTGTCCTTTATAATCAGGTAATTATCATTTATGCATTTAAAAGAGGACCGCCAATTAAACATTAAAATATTTCAGAAGGACAAATGACTTCAATTGTGCAAAAGAATTTGAATAGGCGATGCTAAATTCAGAAATGTGATTAAATAACGCTTTTATTGTTTGTACTCTTTCTCTCTCTTCCTTCTCTCTCTTCGAGCAACTCAGGCCCTAGTACTGATGGCCGACGAGAAAAAAGAATCTCTCTCTCTTCGAGCAACTCAAGGTACACGTCCTAGTATTGATGGCCGACGAGACATTAGAATAGAGTAGAAGGCTGCCAGAAAATAGAAAAGAGTGAATTTTTCAAACGTAAAGGAGTAATGTGATGAACTCTTATCATAAATTTATTGTACGGATCCGACGAACTTTTTTCTCTTCTTGGTCGGAAAACGCCATCTCCGACGAAATTTCTTCTCTTTTTATATAAATACATTTTTTTGCATGTATTTATGTATTTCGAAGATCTGTATGTTTTTAATACAGCATGAATACATGATTTAAACATTGAAATATACTAAATACAAATATTAAAATAGAGCAGAATATAAACAGTGAATATATTTAATTTTAAAACAAAGTGAAATACAGTAGAATACACGGAATACAAATAGAAATATAGTGAATACAACCAATGAAATATACTGAATACAGCAGTAATAACATGTATTAGGGATAACTAAAATACTGTTAATACAAATACTTTTGAATACACTGAACATAAAATAGCGAATACACTAAATACAAACATTGAATCTAATGAATGCAACAGTAAAAAAAATATTGATATACACTAAATACAAAGGTTAATACAACAGTTATATACAACTTAAAAATTATTCTAATTAATTGAGTTGATAATGAGACATGTTAGAATTGATATTCTTGAGTTATATTAGGAGTATATCACGCTGATTGATATTATTTCCGTTATTAGGCAGCTGAACATACCTATTTTTAAGGCGATTGTCGTTACTGTATTCATGAATACAGTACGCGAATACATGTGAATACATGCGCGTACAGCTGGACTGCCCTGATTTTAGGCGCTTTGAATACAGCATCGTGAATACAGCGAATACACTACCGTAACAACTGAATAGTAACTATATGAAGTAATTATATATATGATAACATTAAGAAGTTAATAGCCACTAAACAATAGTAGTTTTTGAAAATTCCTCCTTTAATGATTACATTAGATTATGGTAATGCAACTTTTAATAGACTCCATGATCAATGTTTCATCTTGACAGTTACTCAATATGAGAGAACCAGAATGCCCCCGATTTCCATGAGAACACCCAAAAAAAAAGGTATTACCACACAAATAACCGGCCAGATTGAATGTTTACTTTTTCTAGCAAGTTATATATATATATATATATATATATATATATTGAAGAAAAATTGGAACGATTAGGGAGAAGCGGTTGGAAAATACGCAACAGTTAAAGAAGAAATCGACATCCTTTATTATGAGAACTACTCATTGAACCTGCCCTATGATGAAAAGAGGTAACAGAGAATTATGAGTTCTTTTCCTTGTACGATAAAGAAGTGTCTAGACATAGAGATTGCATACCAATCCACGTGGCCTCCATCCTATAACTTGACTGCAAAAAACAAAGGGCTGCCAGCAAGGTGGATATTGCATCTATCTTTTTAAAACCATACATAGCCAAACTTTTTCCAAACCAACTTTTATTTTATGTTAAAGTATGCGTTCTCTATTACAATACTTCGCTGTAACATCCAAATATATTCAGAACAAACAAGACTATTATAGAAGGATTTGATTGTACTAGAACTTTTTTCACCTATCAAGGGAATGAAACAAACGTTGACTCGCCATAGAACGTGATTCAATTGATATTTCAAACCATTATAGCACAGGAATAGAAGTCGTTCAATCTCACTCTTAGTATGGCACATAATTGCAAGCTCTTCAAGCTCAAATTACTAACGGCAGAGTAAGTACCGAAAAGTTACTGCAACAGGAAAATGAACTAAAATACAAGCTCAGATTCTCCTCAAGGCTTTCGGTAACATTGACATGCAACGGACTTAAATTTGCCAGCCACAACCAGAAAACAGCAAATGATTAATTCAAAAAGGTGGCTATATTCCACAGCAACAGAGTTGCAACTAGCAAAATAGCTGAGAATTGCAACAAGTATAAGAAATCGATTCCCAAATATCAGCTCATCCACTACATTCCATCCGACGAAAAGCAACTAAGTTGAATATATAATCAAAACATATGGGTAAAATGTATCACTGAGAAACAAGGTATCAAAACTTTAAACCCGCTTCGAAATTCGTACAGGTGACGCTGTCTTTCAAAGTTAAAAGACCAATAAGGGAACAGATCAAACATACTAAACTGTCATACTAACAAGAACAAAAAGCAGGCTTAGCACCAACCCTCCTTACAATTCATCATCCTCACTTCTTTGACTTCTTAGACCCCCTGCAATGACGAGTTCTCATCAAATGTAGTTTCAACAAAGCTCTAGAAAAACCAACAGTAATATATTTGCAGTTGACTTACTGAGCTGATTGGACTGGTGCGGCAGCAGCCGGAGCTGCAGGTTGAACTGGCCTCTCTCCTGGTCCCTGAAAAATGGAGAAAAAGCAAGCTCAAAACCCAAGCTTGTACTATTTAAAAGAGGATAAAATTCCATAAGCACATGCTACATGTTCTAGAAACACAAACTTATTAGGAGCAGAGCACTGAAAAAATAAGCCTTCCTCAAAGATCAAAATTAGCTTTGAGCTCAAATTAATACCTGTGCCAAACGCTCCTCCCTCCTAGCAAACTTTCTTTCCCTGCTAGCTTTGTTCTTTGCCCTCCTGGCCTCAAATTGGTCGGACAAGGTCTTTTCTCTAGCCTTTTCAGCCTTTGTTTTGTGGATATTTTCCATCAGCACACGCTTATTCTTGAAAACATTACCCTTCACCTTCATGTACATGTCATGATACATGTGTCTGTCAATCTTCTTTGACTCCCTGTACTTGCGAAGCAAGCGCCTAAGGACTCTCATTCTCCTCATCCAAAGCACCTTTGTGGGCAGTCTAGCCTCCCTGGTACCTTTGCGCTTACCTGAGAGCTCATCAAGCAATTTCACCCAGCAATTGTTCATCAGACGTACAAAGAAATCGGAAATATAGGAGTAAAAAAGAAAAGTGACATGCATTCAAACAAAACATGCTACGAAATAAATCCTCACAAAAAAATACCAAGTACAACTTTATACTCTCTCAATCACATTTTTATAGTCATCATTCTTCTCCAAATTCCACCTCCTAATTTATATTCTTTATTTTGAATTGTAAAATTAAACATTAACTAAAAAGGGAAACCAATGTTCAAAGTTAGACTGAAAATTAGCTGATTCAACCCTAAAGAATTGAATTATGTCATATAAAATTAACCAAAGTAACATTAGAAAAGCTAATATCAAATGTCAAGACTTGGAGGGTACCGTATCCAGAGTGACGGCCTTTCCTCTTGGCTTCCTTCATTCTGCGAGCACGAGATCTGGAGTGAATTTTGGTTGGCTTCCTGATGATGAAACCATCCTTCACCAATTTTCTGATATTTTGGCCTGCACCAAATGCAAATGAAGGGCTTGCCGTCGATTGTTCAGAAATTACCACAGGAAATAGGTGTCACAATAACATAGGAAAAGCAAGATAAGGATTATAAAGGACAAGCCAAAGCTCAAACATTTAGCTAGTTACAGCTACATTCAATTTTCCTAGTTTTTTAATGTCGGTGGTGTCCAGGGCAGCTTACGCACAACTCTACCATCTCACCGAGCAATTGCTATCTCCCGCAGGTGGAGGTATTGATTGAATAACCATTAATATCATTTGTCTTAACTAGACATTAGACAAAGAAGCAAATAGCTGTAAAGCGGCTCTATCACATTTCCATCTCAAGGTCCAAATACTCTTGACTAAGTCACGTTAAAGAAGCTAAAATAAACGACAACGTAAGCAAAATAACGTATCACATACCCTATCCACATCTGCCAACAATGTCGATCAACTACACCTCTAGTTGCAATCAGCTAAATGAATCATTTATCCCCAAAGTTAGCAGAGAGTTCAGCATAATTATATTAGAATTCAAGTTATACGCACCGCCTGTGTAAACTGATTGCAGCTTAGTTACAATTTAATCAGATTATCAAATAATGATTATCAAGGTATTTAACTGTAATTATCTATTATATAAACATTTTACACTGTTAAACCTACAGCAACCATCCTTCATCATCAAGCCTAAGCACCGGCTATTTGCGATGCTCAAATCTAATTATCATCACTCGGAAAAACACATCGTTTAAACGTGAAAAAGCAAACAATTAATACGCTAGTCTCACGACTCTCGCAGCTTTTTCGTTGACAAAGTCTAAAGTTGATCCAAAATGTAAATTGATAACATTACTAACATAATCTAGGGTTCACTGGAGCTAAACTGATCAAAATATGATACAAACATTTTATGAAAGCAGAAGCTAACTAGAGATTAAAGAGATCAAATAATAAACAAAGAGAAAGATAAAAGAGAGACATACGGGAATTGGCCATGGAGATTTCGTTGCCCTCATTAGGATCGAGCCAAACTTTGCCTCTTCCACACTTGAGGACACTAGCGGCGAGCCGCTTCTGTAGCTTCAGCGAAACCATTTTCCGATTCTCTTCAGCGAAGCTGCGAACAAAGGAGAAATGAACTGCAGTTGAGAGAGGCGGATTTTATACTCTTGCCCTAGGGTTTTTCGGAAGGGGCTTATTTGTCCTTTTATCTTTGCTAGGAAATGGGCACGGCCCATTTAGAATTTTGTGGCTCAAGTCCGATGGACCTCCTAATAATGAAGATTGGATGAAGACCGGACAATCTCAAAGAATACATAAGTTTTTACCCTATGTATTCTTTTTTGTGGGGGAAGTGCACGGTTAGCCACTAATAAGATATGTATTTACTTTTAAGCCACTATTTAAAATATCTTAGTCTTTAGCCATTGCTTTAATAAACTTTACTCGCCCGGACGAAAATACCCCTCTGCTCATAAAGTTCAGGACCAAGCGTCCTTAACTTATGAGCTTGTTACTGTAAGTTCAGGACTAGCTGTCCTTAATTTATGAGCTTGTAAGTCTAAGTTTAGGACTACTTGTCCTTAACTTTTGAACTTGTAACTCTAAATTCAAGACTACATGTCCTTAACTTTTGAACTTGCAACTCGAAGTTCAAGACTACCTGTCCTTAATTTCTGTGCTTGTAACTCTAAGTTAAGGACTACCTCTCCTTAATTTCTGTGCTTGTAACTCTAAGTTAAGGACTACCTCTCCTTAATTTCTGTGCTTGTAACTCTAAGTTAAGGACCAAGTGTCCTTAATTTTTGAACTTCTAACTCTAAGTTCAGGACCAAGTGTCCTTAATTTTTGAAATTCTAACTCTAAGTTCAGGACCAAGTGTCCTTAACTTATGAGCTTGTGTCCTTAGTTTTTGAGCTTGTAACTCTAAGTTCAGGACTACATGTCCTTAACTTTTGAACTTGTAACTCTAAGTTAATGAGTACATGTCCTTAATTTCTGTGCTCGTAACTATAAGTTAAGGACCAAATCCTTTCAACAACACATGCATCAACAAGAATCAGAAACCCAATTCAGCATTGAATCCATACATAAAATTAAAGGCAAAAACCGAATAAAGGTTGCAATGACACGAAACAAGACAAAGTTGACCCTCCTTAGAAAAACAACAAGATAGCATCTTTCATCTTCGTAACTATTCAAAGCCATCAAATTCACAAGAATCAAAAAACCCAATTCAACATTTTTATCACAAACAACATATGCATCCACAAAAACATGTCTCTACATCGAACTTGAGTGAGAGAAGCTAGGGTTTGGGAAAAAAAGTAATAGAAGAAAGGGTAAAAATGCCTTTTCATATTAATTTTAATAGAGTAGTGGCTATTTTTGCTCAACATTAGAATTGTTGGATAAAAAATAAACACCACCTTAAATAGTGGCTACCCCATGCCATTTTTACTTTTTTTGTGTCAAAATAGCATGAGCTAACCAGTTTCCGAATTAGCAATTAAGAAAAAAGTCAGTATTTCCACGGTCATTGAAAAGTAGCTAATATTTTATGTTGAGATAAAATCTTCACACACCCTTAGCAAACACAGAAAAAACCCAGCATAAAATATGCTGAATTATGAAACTTTTGCGTGTAAAATTTAAGCATATTATACTGGAGTTGAAACTTCAAAGACACCTTGTATGCAAATTTCAAAATATTATGCTGGAGTTTAAAAGTTCAAACTCCAGTGTAATATGCTGGAATTCACATACAGGATATTTTAAACTCCAACACATTATGTTAGAATTCCATATATAAAAAGTTCGAACTCCAACATGTTAGAATTTTTTTGGATTTTGACTTAGGTTATTTTTCTCCAAATTGTATTACTGCATGAAAAAGTAGTTAAATTTCGATTAATATCAATTCGGTGACTAATTTTTAATTAGCAATTATAAATTAGGCTAATTTGAATTTCTCCTTTTTTTGTCAACGATAGTGTACGTGCCAATTTGCAGACATTCGACAAACTCATTGGGTATTTAACAGCACATGTATAAAGATAACCTTGCCTACTAAAATTTAGCAGTCTTTTAAAAAAATTTGTAAACACTAAAAAACGTAAATTGCAATATGGATTTAGAATGTATTAGGAAAAGAGCCAATCTCGATGACTCTTCATTAACATTACGTTTTCTAGCACATGTATCAAATGATTTTGTCTGTCAAGATTTAGTAATATTTCAGTTTTTTATTAGAACTGGAAATTTTTCTTTGTTGGTGTAGGTTGAAAAACAGCTTTGGCGAAAAATATAAATTTTCTTTTCTAAAATGAGTTTTGAAACAATCGTCACCATAAACATTCGACAAATAAATATGACAATTTTTAATTTGGTTAAGAGTTTTTTTTTTAAAAACAATTATGTAAATTACAATTGACACTGTGGCTCTAAAGCACTGATAAGTATCAAAATCTACATTGGGATCGACAAAATGTAACTAGGGTTCATGAGGGTCTGAGAGAAGGTTCGAGAGAACTTTTGATGTTATCAATTAGAAAATGAAAATCTGTACAATAGTGTATCAGTCTCCACTATTAATGGTAAGCCTGACCCGGTAGGCTTACAATATAAATATTACAAGTGGGCTCAATATAAATATTTCTTTGGACCTATTCGAGCTTCTGAAGTTGCTTCATCTGTTGCTCGACTGGATTTAAAATCTTTTGTTTCAACATCAGTTTCTTTGTGTGATTCTGATTTCCTGCCATCATTGAAACTCGACTATATTTTTCAGAAAGGTCTTTATACTTGACCTTTTGTATGCTTCTGATACTCTCTCTTTTCTCTATTACTAAGTTGGTGAAATTGACCTATGTGACTACCATGTTTTGATAGTTCACTATCTACTGACTTTGTGATTGTTATTGCATGATGCTTCTCTTTGTCATAAGTTCAGCCTCGCATCCCTAATGTTTATGCAGTCTTTTATATGCTAAATTTCCCTCTAAAATGACCTTCAATTATGGGCTGATTTCAAACCACTCCTTGTGTAATTCTGATTACACTCGTGTGTTAAGTAATTGATTCTTTCCTTGTTTTACTGATTTTCCTGTTTCTTGGATTGATTTGAAAACTTCCCTTTAGACTTTCGATTCTCCTGTTCTTAGCTTGGTTTATTCATGGGAACCCATGTTATTCTCTCCAAATCAGTAATTTCGAATCTCTGACTCCTTGATTTACTATGTGTTGATTGTCTCCATATTCTGCAAATTTATTGTGTTTCTTACCTTATTTGGTTAACCGAGTATTTAAAAGATTCTTCATTAGTTATTCCCTTAATTAAACCATTATGTACTTACCCCTAATTGTCTATTTTGCACATGATGCTCTACTTGATTTCTTTCCTTAAGTGTTTTCTGCCCATTACCGTTTAATTTTAACTCCTTAATAAAGGAAGTCTTCGATACTGATTTGATTTTTAATTAGTACATAGTTCTATAATTACTGCTAAACTATGATTCTTGCCTTATTTTCTACCTGTTTTCAAACTATAAATACCTTGCTCTTTCATTAGCACACAGACGAACACTCTGAGTTCTAAAATCGCTTACACTCAAAACATTCTCTCCTGCTTTACTACTTCTACTGTGACCTATTTAGTTGGCTGAAAGCCAAAGCTAATTTCAAAATCCTGCTACCTTGCCTTTACTATATTTTGCTTCTTTGAATTGGTATGTTCTGATTAAAATTTCAGCATCACAACAACATGTTTACTTAATGCTTTTGCCTTCTTGTCTGCCTACTGCTTGTGTTTAGTTCAGAACTTTATTCTACCATGCTGTAATTTCTTTCTTCCTATTCTGAATCTATGTAGTATCCTAAATCCCTACCCCAATGTGTTTGATATCGATGGTTTGTTTGAGGCATGACAGTATTGAGCATTGCTGTCCATGACTCAAGCTTGATTCCCCTGGGATCATAACCCCTATGTATTCTCTAGTATTGTGTGTTCTGGTGGGCTTATGGGCAGGCATGCCAGCATCTCCTATTGTTGTGCATGCCCAAAGCTGACCCTTGCCTAAGTACATAGGCTCTTTGCAATTTCCCAACCCCTGAACCCTTTTGTATGAAATTATCAATTTGTTTATGGCTGTTTCCCAGCACCTGTTTCCCTCTCCTTTATTCCCTCAGAACTCTGTTTCTTCACTTTCACTCTCTCTTAGACTTAAGTTCTGCCCCCCTCTTGTGAGCATTGCCTTGGGACCCATGAGCTCCCTCTGAACTTGGACACTTGAGGGCTGGCACTTCCATACTGCACTTGTCCCTATTCTGGTGATGCAATTTGGGTGTGAGCACTGCCCGGAGTCCCATTGAGGCACTTAGGGAACTCTGACACACTCAAATTGGAGAAAGGCTTTGGATCAATGGTCTTTGAGTTGGTCTATCTCATAACTCAGAGAGGAAGTCAAGAATCAGGCTTCCTCTAGTTGTAATTTTCTTTGTACTTTTCTGATGTAATTTATTATTCTGGTTTGTAATAAGTTGTAATAAATATTTGGGGCTGGCTAGTGAAAAAGGGTGGGTAACTATGCATGCAAGGGTAGAAATCATGCCTATAAGGTGTTTTAATTTCTGCATATTCAAACTTCACCTAGAAACCATGCCTATAGGGTGTTTTAACTTCTGCGTATTCAAATTTTACCTAGAAACCATGCCTATAGGGTGTTTTAACTTCTGCATATTCAAACTTCACCTAGAAGCCATGCCTATAGGAATATTTTAATTCTGCATAATTCAAACTGCATTTAGATACCATGTCTATAAGGTTTAAAACAAGTATCTGCATTTAGATACCATGTCTATAAGATTTAAAACAAGTTTCTGCATTTAGATACCATGTCTATAAGGTTTAAAACAAGTTTCTGCATTTAGATACCATGTCTATAACGTTTAAAATAAGTTTTTGCACTTAAACACCATGTCTATAAGGTTTCTGCAATCAGATACCACGTCTAAAAATCAGTAATGCATAGAAATCATGCCTATAGGGATCCTCGAGCAATTCTGATTCGTTTTCATTCACAGTCACTGTTAGATATAAAATCAGTAATAGTAGATGCTATAACCTGCAGAACGTGTAACCAACTTATTTAATTT